GGTCCCACTGATGAGCAGCCAGTTCCTCTGGATGGGTCTGACAAGATCAGGTAAGGTACCACAGTGCCAGCCAAAGGGCACAGGTTTGGGGCAACTCTTCAGCAGTAGCAACTCCTGTCTGTCTGCATAATACTGATGTTAGCATGAATGTTCTGACTCATGTCTCCTAAAAATGTGTTAGAACCCCACCCTCTGCATCTGTAAATGTGGCCCTACTTGGGAATAAGCACTTTCTTTCATTATATTAACCATCATACCAGAGTTGGGTAGGTTCTACATCTAATCAATTCCTATTTGTAAAATGAGCAGAACAAATATTTCTCACTTATTCATGACAGATTTTTCTTCTCTGACTTTTAAACATTGTTGGTGGTGTTTCTTTCTTACTCTTTATTTTTATCTTTATATTATTATTACTTTCTTCTTTCTGTTTCATTTTGGTTTGGTTTTGTATTACTCTGTCAGGCTTCGCAGTTTGTGAAGCACAGAAGGTTTGGGTGCATAGAGATACTGATACAATGGTTTACTGGGGACATGGGTGGGGTGGGGAGGATGAGGGGATTTAGTGAGAAAATAATGAATGTGGAAGCGGGAAGGGAGCACTAGAACTGATTATGATTCTGTATATACAACTATTTAAAAAGTAATTTAAGTTTGGAAGTGTATGATATGTGAATATTCTATCAAGAAAACTAAAAAAAATTAACTAAACTTGATCAATGGTTACCATGGTGAAAGAGGAAGAGTTTTTGCTTATGTAGCATTGATGTTGTTAATGGTGGTGGAATAATTTGGAAAGCAATGGCATTGAATTATACATGTAGAAGTTGCTGAATTAGAGAATGTTTTGTTGTGTATATTTTTGCCACAATTAAAAAAAGTTTACACAAAGCACAATGAGTCCAGGGAAGAAGACATGTTCTAAAATTGATTGTGGTAAAGCCTGTCTGCCTCTTTTTGATGTGATTGAACTATACAATTGTAAGACATGTGGATGAAGTGCCAACAAGACTGTTAAAAAATACCGTTAGAAAAGCATACCAGACACAGAGACACACACAGGGAGAGGAATGACATCAGTGAAGACCAAGGATTACTTGAAGATGCTAGAAGGTAGGAGAGACCCTAACTTACATTCTTAGTCTCTGAACTATGAGAAAATAAATGTCTGTCCTTTAAAACCCACCCATTAAAGGATTAGAGGAAGGTTGTATGTTTCATTGGTGCAGTATAGCACCAATGTCTCTTCCTTGTGGCCCTTCTGACAGGG